TGGAGACATTCAAGGTCAAGCTTGATGGGGCTCTGAGCAACCTGGCCTAGTGTGAGATGTCCCTGCTTATTGTAGGGGGGTTGGACTAGGTGACCTTTAGAGGTCCTTTCCAACCCAAGACCTTCTGTGATCCCATGACACAAACCAGGTGCTGTGCACAGAGCTGGGAAGCCGTACAAAGTGCAAATCCTGGGCATGCTCCCCAGCTCCAGGTGCACCTTTCCTGAGCAGTGGCCAAGCTCAGCTGAGCTGCAGCTCCCTCTGCCTTGGCCAATGTTCAACCAGGCCTGTCAGCACCTCTGCTGGCCACGCCAGCCCTGCTGTTTGCCACGGCTGCCCTGGCACAGCCTGCATAGCCCCGTGACTCGACGCCTCCCCAGCCCAGGGCTGCTGCTCGTCTGACTGCCAGCCCGGAGCAGGAGCCCTGTCACTCTGCATTGCTAGAGATGTGGAAAACAATTTGCAGGTAAAATGACCCTTTCCCGTGGCAAATTACCCTTGACTGCTGCAGCCCGGGCGCTTGTTATTCCAGGCAGGATGTCAGGGCACGGCGGCACAGCGCGGCCGGGCTATTAACCAGGCGGAATGAAGCCATTTACTCGTTATGGAATTGCAGGAACCTCAAGTGAAGATAAAGCAGCCCTGCTCACCCGTGGCCTGGGCACTGGGGTTGGGCTGCCCTTGGCTGGGAGCTGCTGTCCCAAGAGCTCCCTTCACCTGTGAGGCATCTCTGCTAAGGTGATGCAAGAGGTGTTTAGGGGGGGGCACATCTGGCCAGATGTTCCCCTTGCGCCAGAGCTGGTTGATTCACGGGGAGGAGTGATCCCCAACTTAGCTATGCGAGGTCTTTATCCAGCAGATTAGGTTCTGGTGATGGGCTGTGGGTATATATATAATTTCATTGGGATTTAACATTTATTCCAGGAGCTAAATGTCATTACGGGCAGATCCCCCAGCTAAATCCATGGTCTCTTACAGCTGCAGGGTTATAAATCGCCTCATCCCGAGGGGAGCTGCTTGAGCTGATTTCATTTGGGTTTTTTCATTGTTTTTATTCTTCCTTTTTTCCCCGTTTAAATGCAACTCCACATGAATGGTTAAGAGCTCAGTGCTGGCTTCAGGTGCCATCCCTGAGGTCAGCCTGCTTGGTTCTCTGCCTTGAGCACCCAGGGGTGCTGCAGGGGCTGACACCTGCCGTGTCCTGGGGCTCTCTGAGGAGCAGCAGGTGCCATGAGCTGGAAGGTGTCCCATCTCCTTGCTTCCCAGAGATGCTGTACCTTCCCATGGCTGGTTTGGTGTGATTAGGAATCATAGAATAATAGAATGGTTTGGATTGGAAGGGATCTTAAAGATCATCTAGTTCCAACCCCCTGCATGGGCAGGGACACCTCCCACCAGCCCAGGCTGCTCCAAGCCCCATCCAACCTGCCTTTCAACACTGCCAGGGATGGGGCAGCCACAGCTTCTCTGGACAACATGTTTCAATGTCTCACCACCCTCATACTGAATCATTTCTTCCTAATGTCCAACCTAAATTTCCCTTCTGCCAGTTTAAAGCCATTCCCCCTTGTTATACCGCATGGCTCAAAGAGGGCACCACAGAATGACAGATTGTTTTGGGTGGGAAGGAGTCTTTAAATCTCATCCTGTCCAGTCCCTCTGAAGTGAGCTGGGACATCTTCAACCAAATTAGGTTGCTCAGAGCTCCATCCAACCTGACTTGAAGTGTCACCAGGGTTGGGGCACCCACGGCTCGGGTCACCTGGGCCAGTGTCTGCCCAACAAATGCTGGGCTGGGTGCTGGAGATATGGGGTCCCTGCAGACCTGGCATGCTTGGCCACCAAGCCACCAGCATGCTGACCAGCTGTGACAGAGAGAGCAGGAACAACCCGCTCCTTCCCCAGATTACATTTGACATCCAATTAAAACCTGGAGGTGCCTGGAGGTGCAATGTTCTTGCGGTGTGGGAGCCGGGAGGGTAACGCGCTGCCTCGGCCGTGCTGCTGCCAGCCGGGCCATGGGGAGCACAGAGCTGCCTTCATGGCAGAGAGGGGGGGTCCCCAGCTCCCACCTGGCCTCCCCCAGCACCCCGCAGGGTGGAGAATGGCTGCTTTCAGGGTGAGGGTGGCAGGCAGGGCCGGGGGGCTGAATGGTGCCTGTGAGCCCAGCCTTGGCGGGCG